AAGGCCAATCAAAGTGGTAATCTTGTCCTTGGGGCACGATATGAAAGGCGGAATAAACGCACTGTTAACAAAATAAGCGAGCGCAGCTGTTGCAGCCGAAAGCTTTATTGGAATCTCTAATTTGTAAATCTTCGGCAAACCATGACTACTGGCCCTTAAATATGTTGCCACCGCTGAAGGCGGCACTCTGTTACTGGAGACGCTGCCAATGACCCGAGATTCTGCTGTTAGCGACCCGGGACACGGCTGCTGTTGGCTGAGACGAAGGCAGAGCACAAGCTGCTGAAGGACACAGAAGACAAGCTGCTGGACACACAGGAAACAGAGCTGATGTACTAGCAGAACTGACAGAAAAGTACTATCTGCTATCTTGCTCTGCCTTCTCTTTCTAACACGTAACTGGGGGACATAACCGGCGTTGACACAGGAACACACAAGGTTATAACAATCATCATAGTACTGTAGGAGCGGAACAGTCAGTGAACGTTCATCAACGATTGTGCCGTGGGCTTGAGCGTTTCTAACTTTTGTTCACTTGGGAAACCTTGGGCTTTTATTTTCCGAAGACAGGTTGTGAATTGGGTTTCTACGCTCTATGTCTGATCCCTAATATGTTTTTCTCTTTTGAACGTAGTGTCATCGGCCAGGATTGATTCAATCTTGGAAGCGTAAACACGTTTATTCTTTAGGATGAGACCATGTCCGGTTTGGTGATGAATATTTTACTATTTTGGCGCAAACCTTCGAGTTTCTCCAAATGCTCTTTAGTGAGATGCCAGACGCTCAGAGGATTAGTTCTAAGATATAAGTAATGTGGCTGACATATAGGTTCTGGTCTCGTCCTAATGAACGAAAGTGTTTACTTTTCCAAGAGCGAATCAATCGCGGTTGATAACACTACGTTCAAAAGAGAAAGACATAATAGGGAGCAGACATAGAGCATCGAAACCCAATTCACAACCTGTCTTCGGAAACTGAAAGCTCAAGGTTTCCCAAGTGAACAAGGATTAGAATCGCTCAAATCCGCGGGCACAGTCCCCC